GTGTTCCCAAAAGGATCTCACATCCAATTGGTGGTGATGTAGCTGATGGCAAAAGACCTTGTCAGAAAAATGGAGGCCCAGGTGGCAGTGGCTCACAGCCTGTAATCCCAGCACTTTGGGAGGCCGAGGGGGCAGATCATCTGAGGTTAGGAGTTCGAGACCAGCCAGGCCAACCTGATGAAACCCATCTCTTACTAAAAATACAAAAATTAGCCCAGTGTGGAGGGAGGTTGCAGTGAGCCAAGATTGTGTCATTGCACTCCAGCCTGGGCAACAGAGCCGACACTCTGTCTCAAAAAAAAAAAAGAAAAAAAATAGGCAAAGACATGTACAGATAACATTACCAAGAAGACACATAAATGGCCCAAAACCTTTTGGGGAAAAAGAAAAATTCAATCTCACTAGTCACTCAAGGAAATGAAATGGGTAAAATGAGGAATCAATGCCATGTAGCAAAGTGGTTTAAGGTATGGATTTAATGGTGGTGAGACACGAATGAGAACGAGCTCTTCACATTCCATGCAAAGAATATAAATTAATTATAATTGCACAAGCTCTATTTCTCTTTTTTTGATTTATGCTTTTTTGTTTTTATATATATCTGTTACTAATTTGGGTGTTTCCAATAGATGTTTGTCTACTGTATGACCCCTATTGTGCTTGGATAATCATTTCTTTCTTTCTATTTATGATAAGACCCATTAAAGTGGGTGTTCCGGTGCAGTTGGGTTGTGCTTTCAATGCCTGTAATCCCAGCCACTGTTGGAGGGCCTGATGGTGGGTGTGGATCACTGAGTATCAAGAGATAGGAGACTCTCATCGTCTGGTGCCAACATCGTGAATAACCCTGTCTTTCTACGTAAAAATACAAAAATTTAGCCTGGCCTGGTTAGCCACACGACTTCCAGCTACTAGGTAGGTAGTCCGGTTTTTAGCAATCTCAGTGTGTTTGGCTGTATTTTTGCTAGTTTTAAGATATATGTCTTTTGTATATCCTTTCATGGATTTTTCTTGATGATTCTGTTCTTCTTATCTTGTCACGTTCCTATGTCTGTTGCTTGACAGTATGATCTATTGTCTTTCAATTTAAAATATAAAAAAAGGAAAGATTCCAGAGTTGGAGGGTTTAAATGCTAAATACACATGGCAACATCATTTTACAAAGTTAGGACTAGCAAGAACCTAAATGCCCCTTAAAAATATCATGTAAATCAGGGGTCCCCAACCCCTGGGTCACAAACCAGTACTGGTCTGTGGTGTGTTAGGACCTGGGTCACACTGTAGTAGGTGGGCAGTGGACGACTGAGCATTATCGCCTGAGCTCCGTTTCCCATCAGATCAGCAGCGGCATTAGATTCTCATGGGAGCACAAACCCTCCCATGAACTGCGCCTGGGAGGGATCTAGGTTCACACTCCTTGTGAGAATCCTACTAATACATGATGATCTGAGATAGAACAATTTCTTCCCTTCATTCTGAAACCATCCCCAACCCCCGTCTGTGGAAATACCATCTTCCAGGAAACTGGTCCCTGATGCCAAAATGGTTGAGAACCACTGAGGTAGATAATCAACACCTTGTTTTTGAATAACATTTGAAGATATAGAATATATTTGTAACATCAAAATCCTACACGTTCTTTTATATTATTATTTTTTCAAGAGATCTTGCTATGTTGCCCAGGTTGGATGTGAACTCATGGGCTCAAGTGATCCTCCCACCCCAGCCTCCTGAGGAGCTGGGACTGCAGGTGTGTGCCACCATGCTGGGCTCTTTTGTATTGATACGGATAAAAGAAAAACTTCAGCCGAATGAAATTTAAAGGAGCTTAATTGACCAACGAATGGTTTGAGACTCGGGTGGCCTTCCCAGCCACAGGAGGCTCAGAGACTCCAGTGCAGCCATGTGGTGGAAGAAGGTTTATGGACAGAAAAAGGAAAATGATGTATAGAAAATGGAAGTGAGGTACAGAAACACCCAGATTGGTTACAGTTCGACATTTGCCTGATGTGAACAGAGTTCCAACAGTTGGCTACATTTGACTGGCTAAAACTCAGTGATTGCCACAACGATAGGCTATTGTCTGTTTACACCTCCACTTTTTATAGTTCATGATGTATAGAGAAATCTTTAGGCAGAACTTAAAATATGTAAGGAGGCACCTTTGGGCTAAGCTTGATTTGACAATGCCCATATGTGTTTAAATGCATGCATACATCTTCAGGTATGTATATAGCTATGTACATGAGAATAACCAAAATATAACCCGTAGTGTCCATTTTTATCTTCTTCTACATGTTGTTTTCTAGAAAATAGAAATATGTACAATATTTCTGTATATAATAGAATAATACGTGACTTCAGGTCTATAATAGTACATACGTAAAGCAGCTTCAGAGGCTGACTTGTACAATGATGTTTGATGACTGCCTGTTCGTACGCAGGGGATCGGTGGAAGTGCAGCAATGGACACTTAACTTGGTTCTCTTTTCTTCCCTAGGTCATGGCTTCACTGCAATAGTGCAACAGGTGAGTCGGGGCTCTCTATCACCTAAGTGATGGGAATGTCAGCATAAGTCTGTTGGGCTGTTATTTCCATTCTTTTTTGTTTTTATTTCAATAAAACTGTGGCCTATTCGAAGTGACATTAGCCACTGCCATTCCTTCCAGTTGCCCCAGGGTACAGCCTGATCTGTGACTCTCGAAAGCTTTGGAAATTGGCTGGATGGATGGGAATCCTGGCTCTCTACTTAGCTGTGCAGCTTTGCGTGGAGCACAGACCTTTCTGAGCCTGAGTTCCTTCATCTATGCAATGGGTATAAGTCTACCTCAGTGCCAGTCTTATGGCAACTCACCAATATTCATTCAACTAAATTCTATAGAATTGGTTACCCCCAAAACATGGGTGGAAAGAATGAATGGTTCAAAAGCCATCTTTGATGCTTCTCCTGTATCTCTCTTCATAGTCTCTTTTCTGGTACTAGGCACTTAACAGGAGCCCATCAAAGTTTAAGTAAAAGTATGTACTATTCATCGGGGAAGGTTATTATTTCAGGCAAAGTCCCACAGAACTTCCCTAGAAAGCTGGTGTCTAGATAGAATGACTGAAACGAGGCAGAAAAATGGAGACGTTGTCCAGAGGAAGCATGCAAAGAAGTGATGGAGTCCTAAGGAGTTATGTACTCGGCAAAGGCATTTGAAAGTTTCATCATACCGCATGTTGGAGTGCCTAACCAGCCCTCAGCATGTCCCACCCAGCAGCCAGGAGAACTGGGCAAAAAGCAAAAGTGAAAGCGAGAAATATGAGTTCACACAGGCAGAGAGCACCCAGCCTTAATCCCTCTACAGAAAATTTTTTCATTCAACTTCCTGGTCAGGCCTCACCAAGGTTGTGTTCTCTCAAGGTAGATAATACCAAATTGTGTTGGGGTCTTTAGTATCAAAGGCACCTCTCACCCCTCCCACCCTTCACTGGCATCCTGGAGGGTAGAGAATATTGTAACGGGGTGGCATACCTGGGAATGAAGTGGCTTGTCTGATGTGCTTGGCAACTGGTGAATCATAAAGCACACAGGTAAAATAGAGCGGCCAGCTCCACCTACTTGTACCCTCTTCCTCCCACCTTGCTCCCCACCTTGGTTAAGACAGACAGAAATGGACAGATGGGCACTCCACTTCTTAACAACAATCTAGAGACACCAGCAGGAAAAACAAAACAAATCGAAACCCCACAAAAGTCCATTGAGATAAAGTGGCCCAGGCCTGCTCATACACACTCGAACCTACACCTTACCAGAAACACTTAGCAGCAAATCATGACCTTCCCAGTCTGTTCAAAATAATAGCCCAGACCAGGCGCAGTGGCTCATGCCTGTCATTCCAGCACTTTGGGAGGCCAAGGCAGGCGGATCACAAGGTCAGGAGTTCGAGACCAGCCTGGCCAATATGGTGAAACCCCATCTCTACTAAAAATACAAACATTAGCTGGGCATGGTGGTGGGCACCTGTAGTCCCAGCTACTCGGGAGGCTGAGGCAGGAGAATCACTTGAACCCCAGAGGTGGAGGTTGCAGTGAGCCGAGATTGCCCCACTGCACACCAGCCTGGGTGCTCTGGGTGACAGAGCAAGACTCCATCTCAAAAACAAAAGAAAAGAAATAACAGCCCAGCAGACCTATGCATACTTATGAATCGGCCTAGGCATACTTATGAACCACAACAAATGTCTACTAAAGCACAGCAGACCTTATCTAATTAAGATACGCACGACGATTTACAAAACAGACTGTGCGCCACGGTGGTTTGATAACATTCCCAGATACTTCAAGTTGTTTCTGATTTTTGACGATGGGATCATTTGAAAGCAGGAGAGGGCGTTCATGCGAGAAAATACTAGGGAGTCATTAAAATGACGATGTTGAAGCATATTCATTGTCATGGATGTGTTGGTAGCATGTGATTTTGTGAAAAAGCAGGGAAAAATAGGATACACAGAGTGATTGTATATTTATAAACTATAAATCGATGATGCGTGGTGTGTGTGATTATGTGTGTGTCTGTGTGTGTGTATGAGTGACTTGACTATAATCAAATATTTGTATACTTGTATGATTTGTCTTGCTATGGTAACATTATAGCAATTTTTATTCCCTTCTTTTTTGCCTATCTGTGGCTTATAATTTTCTACAGTAGCACATGTTTTTGTATGCTAAAAACAATCTATCAGAAAATGTTCTTTAGGAAACTATTCCAAGCCTGGAGAAGACAGACACATATTCAAACTGGGACAGTCTGTCAAGGTCAATACCTTCTCAGAGGCTGATACACAGAAAACAGTGCAATGCTTTCCATAACATAAACTCCTGAGTTTTTCTCCTTCCCCTAAATGAAGAATGTAACTGGAAAAGATGGCCCTGTTTAGAAAGTGGATCCTTCTGTCTTAAGCCTCCACGTATAATAAAAACGTTGATGAAGATAGATATTGGCTGATTTGATTTAAAAGACAAGAAATTTCATTTTGTCCAGGAAAATCTTACTTTTAAGTCTTTCTAAGGAAAGCAGTCTTCAAGGTTGATTTTTCCTACTTGTAAAAGAAAAATTAATAAGGATTTTAGGACACGAGGGAGACATACAGGTATAGAATATGTGAGCATCTAATGCCCCCTGCTGGCTATTTCCGATGCTGCGATGCCTGTATTAATTGAGCAGAGGCTGGCGGCATCCTGGTTCTCTCCACAGGGTGTTGGGAATAATCGTGAACAGAAATAAATTTAAAAAATTGACAGTTGAATCTCGGGGACAAGCCAGGATTTCAAATCATCCCAAGATTGGTAAACCCAAGGATTAACATTGTCTTCAAAATTCAATTACAACCGTTAAAAATCACAACAGTTCAAAGTGAGTATTTTCCAGCCCACATTGGGGTTTAGCTCTTTGTCAGGCATATAGTAAAGCCAGGGAATCCCTACCTTTAACAAGATGATTCCTGTTCAAGTAGTTCCGGGCCATTCTTCTTTAGAATTGCTGGCTGAGGGTTAAAAGGGAGAGAGAGAGGAAAACTATCCAGACTCTTCCCACCAAGAAGCTGTCCTCAATTCTCTAGATAACAAATGTCTCCATATTTCATTTGAATTTCTAAGGGCACTCAAGGAATGGGACAGGAGGCAGCTGCCTTCCCTATCACCATTCACCCACTCGTCCATCGATTCATTCAACCAGTCTGTGATATGTTCATATCTGTGCTTTGGGCACAGATTTAAAAAAAAAAAAAAAAGAAAAAGAAAACAAAACTTAAAGGTCCTGGGGACTCAGGTAGTCTGAGATTGTATTACTGTATTTTGCATATGAGGAAATTAAGAACTAGAGAACAGAAGTAAATTTCCAAGGGCCACCTAGTGAGAACATTATGCCTGTTCTTCAAACCCCCATTAAATGTTTCCTGTGTAGCTATTTCTGTGAGTTTGGACTATTTGTGGCTTCGAATTATTAGCTCATAATCTTCAGATCAAAGAACTGTTGTTCAGTGAATAAACTGAAATGCCCAGAGAGCTAGATGACTGAGTCTGTCTCTCTCTCTCCTCTCTCTTTTTTTTGTGTATGTGTGTGTGTATGTATGTATACACACACCACATATATATACACACATATACACGGTCATGTGTCACATACCAATGGGGACGTATTCTGAAAAATACATCATTAGGTGATTTCAACATTGTGTGCACATCAAAGAATGCACTTACACAAACCTAAATTGTGTAGCCTACTACATACCTAGGCCATATAGCATGGTCTATCGCACGAAGGTTACAAACAAAACATCCTGCACAGGATATTACTGTGCTGAATATTGCAGGCAGTTGTAATACAATGGTAAGAATTTGTGTATCTAAACATAGAAAAAGTACAGTAGAAATACAACATAGAAGATAAAAGGGGTACACCTGTGTAGGACACTTACCATAAAGGGAGCTTGCAAGACTGGAAATTTCTCTGGATGAGTTAATGAACGAGTGGTGAGTGAATGAGAAGGCCTAGATCATCACTGTAAACCCATGTCGACATTAGAATCTCTATGCTTAGGCTATTTGATTAAACTATATTTTCTTCAATAATAAATTAACCTTAGGTTACCAGAACTTTTACAGTTTTAAATGTTTAAAGTTTTGTGACTTTTTGACTCTTTCCTGGTAAGACTTATCTTAAGCACAAAGGCATTCTACCATTTTACAAAAATACTTTCCTTCTTCATGTCCTTATTTCAGAATGTTTTCTTCTATTTTTAATTTTTTTTTTTTTTTTATTTTTTAAATGTTTTTGCCAAAAACTAAGACACAGATGCACACATTAGCCTAGGCCTGCACAGCGTCAGGATCATCAATATCACTGCCTTCCGCCTCCACATCTTGTCCCACTGGAAGATCTTCCAGGGCGATGACACACATAGAGCTGTCATCTCCTAGGATAACAATGACTTCTTCTGGAATCCCTCCCAAAGGGCTTGCCTGAGGCTGTTTTACAGTTAACTTTTTCTAGTAAGTGGAAGGATGCTTTAAAATAACAAAAAAAGTATGATATAGTAAACAAACCAGTGTTATAGTTATTTTATCATTATGAAGTATTACATACTGTACATAATTGTACGTGCTAGACCTTCATATGACTGGCAGCAAAGTGGGCTTCCTTACACCAATGTCACCACCACAAGTCCATGAGTCATGCCTTGTGCTATGATGTTATAATGGCTACAACATCATTAGGTAACGATACAGATCTGATAAGTGGAGGAAACCAGGGTCCTCAGTCTTGTGCCGAACTGGATAAAACGACATGGACACATGTGGCGTGGTCTTAAGGAGTGGAGAGTTTAATTAGGCAAGAAAGAAGGAAGGAAGAAGAAAACAGGTCCCCCATACAGAGACAGAGGGAAGCGGGATTTGAACAAAGACAAAACCCCTGTGTAGCAGAAAAGTGTTTGCTTATATGAGGAGGCTGGAGGAGGTGGTGCCTGATTTGCATAGGCTTTAGGGG